GTTTGGATTCATGTAAAAGAAAAGAATGTTCGATGGATTGAAACTGTTGAAATTTAGTTCATTCATTCTTCTTGCTTGATGTATAACGTAAGGCATGTATATATGGTTCCAGGGATAAATTCAATGTGATGATCTGTTGCATGTCTAGTGGTAGCTTTTTCGATTTGGCGATAACACCAATTTAAAATAATTATTCTTTTTAAAAATGATATATGCGAAAATCTTATGATTTTTACTTAACATAATTTTGTTCCTACTTTATGCTAAAAGATTAATAGATCATTTTTAAAAAGAATAGTAAGACTATTTTAGTAGGTATAAGAGGTGGATGTTGAAACTTAACCCCCCCCCCGCAATTTAAACCCAACTTGACCCTTAAAGAATAACTTCCACCCTTAAAGAATAACTTCCAATAAAAAATAGGAATAAAAATAATTATCATCCTAAAATTATGTATAAATATATGTTTTATCTTTAAATGTATATTTAAGACACATTTGACACTTCATGTATATAACATTACCACTCCACTTTGCATATCTAGTCCAGTTTTTTTTTTTTAATTAAAAGGAAAAGTACATAGGCAGTGTTTAAGACTTACCCATACTGAGGAAACCGTCTTACAAAGATTTTCTAAAAATCCCATGACGGTTCCAAATTAAATTTAAGCTAAGAACTGTCTTACAATGAGTTCCCTAAAAAACTCGTGACAGTTCTGTTTTTATGGACTAATGAAAAATTCCTAAATAACTGCTTTACAAAGATCATACAAGAATCCACAGCAGTTTCCTAGTTTTAATCAATTAAACTAAGAGACTGTCTCACAAAGATCTTGTAAAAATCCCATGACAACTCTCTAATCTATCCTGGCTACCTAACATGAATATATGGGAAAGACCTTTGGTCCAAGTATAAAATACCTCGCAAGGAGCTAGGAAGGCTGGCTAAACTGTCATAATCTATTGATTGTCCTCTTGATGCTTGCTTTGATAGGCCATCTGCTAAAACATTGATCTCTCAGAATATATGAAGCACTTGAAACCCAGTGCGATGTAAAATACCTTGTATCTGCTGTAATGAGCCATGGTGCTTCCAGGGAAATTTCTTGCTATTGTGTAACAATTGAACCACTAATTTGCTATCCGTTTGAATCTTTACCTTGTGATATCCTTTTTCTTCTGCCCATTTCAATCCTTGTAGAATACCCTCTATTTCTGCTGAGAGGCTGGTAGATCCTCCCATATGGTTGCTTATTGCTTTGATGAAACTGCCTCGTTCTCCTTGAGCTACAAAACCCCATCCCGATTCTCCTGGATTTCCTAATGTTGACCCATCAGTGTTGATAATGATCTCTCTAGGTTCCGGTGGTATCCAACATAGTGAAGTGACTTTTTTTCTCTTTCCTTCCTCTGACTTTAACTTGAAAAATTTCCTCTAGCTCATGTACCTCATCCTGGGTTCTTGCTCGTAACTCATGAATACTCAAAATCATTGAAACGTTAGTGCAAATTCCATTAGTTATTGAGTCAAAAGAAAACAAAGTACCTTCAAAAAAACACTTATTTCGTATTTTCTAAATTTCCCATAGGATGAAGGCTCGAGTGATCATGATAACTGCTTTTTTTGCTGATGAGAAGTTTCCAATTGAAAACCATGCTTGCACAAAGCTCCATAAACCTGCACTAAAAGGTAAAAAAATTCCATACAAAGTCAAGAAATAATTCCAAACCTTTCTCACTTGTGGACATTCATAAAAGACGTGTTGTATACTTTCCTCCGCTTGAAGACACATTGGGCACCTAGTTGGGTGAGAAATAAATCCCATCTTCTGTAATACTTCTGGAAAAGCAACAAGGTGGTTAAACAACCTCCACAAAAAGAAAGAGATTTTTATGGGGATTAATTTATTCCAAAAACATTTCATAATGGGGACTTCGGTTTCCCTCTCCCTGATTTCCACGTAAGCAGTTGCTAGGGTGAAATCCTCCATCACTGATGGCTTCCATATGCGTCGATCCTCCTCCTGAGAAAAATTTATATCCATTCCTTCCAGAATTTGCAAAACCTGTGGCTTCAAAAAGTCATTGAATTCTTGCAGATAAAAAATTTTGTTAAGGAAAAATTCTTTAACCTGCAAGTCCTTAAATGGCAGGTCACTTAGCCAATTCAGGGACCATAGAGGCCCTTGATTTAGCCATCCATCATACCAAAAAGAAACCTCCCCTTTTCCAAGCAATATTTTTTATCTCTCTTTCGTAAAATGATGAACCTTTAGAACCCTGCTCCAGCTTGTCTTTCCTCTTGAAGTATTTGATACAGACTTTACAAATCTCACCCAAATGCCTTTGTTACACTTCCATTTCCACCAAAGCTTAAGCGAGAAAGCATCAACATTATCTTGAAATTTTCGCAATCCAAGTCCATTTTCAGCTGTGGGAAAGGTAAGTTTTCGCCAAGCATTCCAATGCCTATGCGCAACATCTTCCTTCTTCCCCCAAAGACAATTCTGGCATCTTTTTTCCAGAGCTTCTAGGATAATTTTTGGTGGCTCAATTGCTGAGGAAGTATGCATAGGTATAGCAGATAAAACATGTCAAATCAGAAGCAACCTGCCACCGGCAAACAATAATTTATTTTTCCAATTTGAAAGTCTGGCATCAACATTGTCAAGAAGATGCTGAAAATAATTAGCCTTTTTCATTCCCTGAAAAAGATGGCAACCCAAGTACGCAAAAGGAAAATGCCCTCTCGGCATCTGAAGAACTCTATTAACCATATCAATATGCTGTGGAGAGCTCTTTTCTGAAGCTAGAAAAAAACTCTTTTGCTTGTTGATTTTCTGACCTGAGGCTTCTTCATATTCTTGGAAGAAAATGTTCAACTGTTCCATTGACTTTTTGAGGCCCTTCGTGAAAATGATTAGATCATCAGCAAAACATAGATGTGACACCTCAAAGGATCTGGATGGAATGCTATAAGCTACAATGCTACCACTTTCCATAAGCGCATTAAGCCGTCTAGTCAATGCTTCCGATACCAAAATGAAGAGATATGGAGAAAGAGGGTCTCCTTGTTTTATGCCTCTTGAAGCTTTAAAGAACCCTGCTGGACTTCCATTCAGTAAGATCGAGAACCAACTATCCCTAAGATTATTCATTATCAGTGATACAAATCTATCACAAAACCCGAATTTCTCCATAACCTTTTGTAGGAATCTCCATGAAACGTGATCGAATGCCTTCATCATATCAAGCTTGAGAATCAAGTTTCCCCCTCTTTTTTTGTTATTCAGGAATTGACAGAGATCTTCTGTTAAGAGAACGTTATCTATTATATCTCTGCCTTGTAAAAAAGCTGACTGTTCCTCAGATATTATACGAGGCAATACCTTCTTAAGCCTTTCAGTCAAAATCTTTGTAAAAACTTTTTAAGAAAGTTACAAAGACTTATTGGCCGAAAGTTTGCAAAAGATATGCTTGAAGCCTTTTTGGGGATCAAAGTGATAGTTGTGCTTGCAATCGCACGAGGAATAAGAACACCTGCCATAAACTCCTGACAAGCTAACAACAAATCAGAACATATTATATTCCAACAATGCCGATAAAATTCACCTCCAAAGCCATCAATTCCCGGGGCACTACTTGGGTCCAAACTAAAAACCGCATTCTGCATTTCCTCCATCGAAATTGGTTGCATTAAAGAGCCATTTTCTTCCAAGGTGATGGTATTAAGAATGCAAATTAGCCTTTTTTATATAGCTTCTTCTTGATCATTTTTCTGTCTCCTTCGTTAGAAGTGTTTGAAAGAAATGGACTGCTTCACTTTCAATCTCCTCTTTATTTGAAAGCCAATTGCCATTACATCCTTTAATTTTATAAATGCCTAGTCTCGCCCTTTTCTCCATCAACGAAGCGTGAAAGAAAGCCGTATTTGCGTCACCCTCCTTCATACATTTCAACTTTGTTTTTTGTCTCAAGAAATCATCATGCTCCCGAAGTTTTTGGAATAAATATGCTTGAGCTTTATTAAGAGAAATGCGGTCAATTGTTGCACCTGAAGCATCATATATTTCCTCTCTTAATTGGACTTCAACTTCCGCCGCCCGTAAATTTTCAAATACATCACCAAATTTCAGCTTATTCCATTCCTTCAGATGAGCCTTTAACCATCCCAATTTTGCCGAGAAAGCATACATACCATAGCCTTGTACCGGTTGATCCCAATTCTGTTTCACCATGCTTAGAAAAGATTGTCTTCGAAGCCACATTTTCTGAAACCGAAACAGCCTTTGCCTTGATTCCATGATGTGATTAAACTGATGAAGCAAAGGGGAGTGATCCGAGGAAGCCCTATTGAGATGCTGCACCGTGGAAATTTGAAAGAGTGAAAGCCATTCTTCCGTGAACAAGATTCTATCCAATTTTTTTAACACCCGGCCATTTTGACGATTTCCCACCCAAGTAAAATCATTTCCAATTGTCTGAATCTCTGTCAAATCACAAGAGTTTATCCATTGATTGAAATCTTCAATAGCAGCTCGATCCAGCTGAGAATTCCCAGAGTATTCATCAAGATTATGAATGACATTGAAGTCGCCACCCACAATCCAAGGATCTCCTAAGTGCTGATTCCGAAACTCTGTAAGCTCTTTCCATAGCTCATTTCGGCCTTGTCTTGTAGATTTTGCATAGACCGTAGTGATGAGGAATTGCACCGATGATTGCAAATTTTTAACGTCAAGATGCAAAGTTTGCTCAGAATCTCCCAGTAGCATAACATCAAAATCATTAGACCAAAAGATCCAAATTTTTCCTGTGATTGAAGAAATTGCTTTGTCAAAGTGTAAACTTTGCTTCAATTCCTCCAATTTATTCACCTGCAACATAGGCTCAAGAAGAATAATAAAAGAAATAGAATGCATAGATTTTAAATTTTTCAGTCTACGTTGTGATGCCTCGTTTCCCATACCTCTTACATTCCATATTAATTGATTTATCATTTTAAACATTGGGAGGAATGCCACCTTGGAGTTTCGCCGAACGACGAGTTTCACCTTCGTTCCCATTATTGTTTACCCCATTTTTGGATCCTTTTGGATGTCCACGCTTTTTCTTCCTTTGTTCCCCGTCTGAAGCAGAAACGCGAGCTTCCTCAGTTGGGACGAAGTCTGAACTACCTCCAATTTCAGAATCATCCATAGAGACCAAAATCTGATCGTGGGTAGTAGAACAAAGCTATTCATGAGGCTTCTTCGTAATCGTGTCTTCAACACTTTCAACCTCAGAATCAATGTCCTCCTGTAATTTAGCATCTACTTCCGTGTCCCCAGTTACTGGATTGTCCAAATCAGCCAAGACTTCAAACCGAGAAGAAGTTTCAATTTTTTGATAAAAAACAGCGTGCTATGGCGAAACAGCTTGCTGTTTTTCTGCATTTTGTTCATCCACCTGCAAATTTTTTCAATTCCACAATGTCCCAAGAATCCAAGAGTGATGGTTCTTTATCATTTTCTTGTATAATTGACACCAACCTCTCCTTCGTTAGTTTTCTTTTCCCAGATGATTGAATTTGGATCAAAGGACTTCGCTCCATTACATCAACTAGGGTACTTTGTTTTTCTTCATGGGATAAGCCGGAGGTGGATGGACCATGATGATCTTTTGTTTTCTCCATCTCGTTTTCATGTAGAACCAAGGGCTTAGCCTTCCACACATGTTTCGTCTGGTTTGGTGCTTCCTTTGGCATGATTTGAAGCTTCTCAATAGATGTTTTTACAACCAAATTTTTCGAGTTTGCTGTCTGTTTTTGATTCCCTGCTTCTGTGGTATCATCAACCTTACTTTTCCATTCTTTTGTGTGCTTACAGTTCTTCACTGAGTGTCCAATTTTGCTGCATTCCATGCAATACTCTGGAAGATTCTCATACGGAACCGCCTCGAAGTATGTATTTCCTTCAACACCGAGATGAATTCGTTTTGGCAAGTCTTTCAAAAGATCCACTTCCATGCACACTCTTGCAACCAAAGGTCTTGACATGTTCAAAGTGGGAACATCAATTTTTAAAGGTTTTCCAATTATGCCGGCTAACTTCCTCAGATATTCTTCATTAAATCGATGCACCGGCATACCCCCAAAAGAAACCCAAACCGGCACAATCGAAGATTCAAAATTTGGATTAAAACTGGTTGTCCATTTCAGCACTCGCATCACATGATTTTCAAAATTCCACCAACCCTTCATCCAACATCTTTGGTTATCTTCTTCGAGTTCAAAATATATTAAGACATGAAGATAATCAATCATACCAATGGAAAAATTACCTGTGAAGCCGATTGTTTGAAATTCTTTGTAGACTGTTGGTTCAGACAGTATTGTTGGGGTTGTCAGAACTAGGGTTTCCACAGACGAACTAAGAAGTCTGGGATTTGGTTTGAGGCCTTTTATAATCTGAGCATAAGATCTATTTGGGATGGAGCCTTGATTGACTTTTGTTTCGAGCGGCCGGTCTTCGGCCATCAAGGCCAGCGGCTATGAAGTTTGCCGTGGTAGGGTTTTGGTTTTTTAGAGAGAATTTGGAGAAAAAATTTTTTAGAGAGAGAAGCGTTTTAGGATATAGTTCATGGTCTAAATGAAACATATCTAGTCCAGTTTTTATTTGAATTGTACCTCCAACTCCACCTCCAAAACCTCCTCCTCTTCTTCCACAAACATTTTTTTTTTGGGTTCCAAAGACCAAAGGTACCTTAAACAGTAAACCATTAACTAAAAGGCTCAAAACCCGTCCTACTTTTAAGTCTTAATTCATGAGTAAAAGCAACAACTTCTGAAACTTCAAGGAAACCTTGGCTGTAAGTGTTGGATCTTCAGACGATGGCGAGCCAGATACTGCACCCATTGTTCATGCGTAGTAATCCTGGGCGTTCTAAGATTGAATACATGCTGATTAAGGTGAGCAATGCTGAACGCACCTGTTGGCTGAACATCAGTTCTCGGGCCTACGTAGGCGGCAGATATGATTCCTCCTATGTGGTAGTCCGATTGAGCAGCCACGCAGATGCAATATTTAAGAAAATTGATTCCAACAGTAACCCCATCATTTGGATTGCACCTAATTCTCTTTGGACAAAATCAGTTGCTTCTGAACTTCCAAGGGAGGGATTGATAACATAACTTTCACTCCCCATTGTACAAAAATGGGGGTATTGATGATGAGCTAAAAACATTTGCAACATCCTTTTGAACGATAAACAATTCGAAACCTACTGCTTTAGACCATCCAGCCACAAAGAATTTAATATCATGGTCATGTGCAGTCCGAGCAAGGTACTAAGCTGCTGCTGCAGCACCTACAATCGCCCCAAGGTTGACTTGAATAGGAAGCCAACCTAAAAGATCTTCACAGTGTTGGCCCACACAAGCTACAACAACAATGAATCTGTTTGGTGTGCCTTTGGCAAACTCAAATAGTTTGTCAGCATGATCATAGTGCAGTATAGACTTTTCAAATCCATCAACATCATTTCTTTGTAAGTGCAGCGTGAATCCACAGCAATTACAACTGCAAGTAAACCAGTTTCATCATTGAACTTCCATGCCATTACACTAGTGCCCGAGGACCTTCTCACTTTTGCGATCCTCAATTTTGTAAGCAATCTTTGTTTCAATCCTAAACCCCCCTGGGGGAAGGCCCTATGGTCCCTCATCCCTGAAGATGGAGAACGTTTTTTGAAATGTAGATTCTTGAATGGCAATCGATGCATCTTCAGGTTCAAACACGGTGGGGGAGTTCTTGATTTTTTCATTCTCAGATTACGTGACGTCTGTAGGGTTTAGAGAGGGTTGAAGGATCTTCCGTTGTAGGGTTTAAGAGGGGAGGTTGTGTTAAATAACATTGTATATGAGGAAAAAAACAGATCGTGAAGTAGGCCTTATTTATGAAGTATCTGGTCTTTAAAAAAAATTCAAAACTGACCCGAGGGTAGGCTTGGAGTGGGCCATTGGATTGGATCATCAATGATGGGCTTCGTGAATCAAAAATTTGGGGCCTTGCTAATCTCCAACTCCACCTCCAAAACCTCCTCCTCTTCTTCCACAAACATAATTAATGGTCATGTTCTTAAAATGGGATTTTGATCGGGTGTTTGGAAAGTGTCGGATGAATCACTCGACACTTTTGGAAATCCCGATTCACTGCTTCACCTCCGTCTCCATCGACTCATTCTTCTTCTTTAAGTGGTTAAATCTATAAAACTTTTTTTCTCAAATAATTCAAGATTAAAGTTTATTTTAGTTTGTTTTTTTTATTTATGTTGTATAACAAAAATTTCAGCATATGTTCAAATGTTCCCCCCAACATATGATATGTTTTACTGAATTTTTTTATATATGATTATGTAAAACTTATCATTTTGTTTTTTCTTTTTAATTTGGTCAAGTTTTTTATTAGTCTGGGTTATTATGATTGCATTTTGTTTGAATTTATTAAAATCGTGGTCGCTTCTCTGCATCTTTGTTTCCTTATTATGATTGATGTTCGGGATTGTCTTTTAGGACAGAATCTAACTTGATAGTATACAATTATTAACATTTAAAACAAACAATGTATTTGATGGAATTTTTATGGGCTGATCATTTATGGTTTTAATGATAAAAAGAATTCTTTCAAAACTCTACTAATATTTTCTTAACAGAAAACAAAGATCATTTTTTTTTCATTAAATTGATACTTAAGCAAGAGCTTTCGAGTGCCTTGTTGTTCTATTTTATCACTAAGAAAAGTTTCCTTGAACAACTACAGATAGAATTTTTGTCATATTTTTTTTTTTATATTTTTACTTTTATCAAAATTTACATTTTTCTTGTTGTGAAAGTTGTTTGCAAACAATAGTAGAAAAATCCCTTGAGCTTACTCTTCCTTATCTCCTCTCGACTTAAATATTTGAAACATCCCCCTAACTTTGTCTTCCTCTCCTTGGCTGAACCCTAATCCACTCTTTCTGATTTCTTGATGTCAATCTTCAATTTCAATCTCAATTATTCTTGAACGTGTTATTGATGACCGAGTAGTCTTCTATCAGCGAAATGTAAACCAACCTTTTTCTTCTTTCTCCACTTCTATCCTCTTTCTGAAGCCCTAATTTCTCCACCTTTCTATCTTGTCTATGCAAAGCCATAATGAATCAACACAACTTTTTATGGTTAGATTTAGTTCCTGCAAACTTTCAGTAGCCACTGGCTTCGGGAAATCAGCGCTGTGGTACATTCGAATTCAATTGTCCATGGGTTGAGTATGACACAGTACCTCCTCCGGGAGCTTTTTACGTCAGGGGCAGAGATTTCGCTGATTTCACCCCGGGCACTGACAACTGTCAACATCAAGAACATCTCCCGCATTTAATGTCCCACTAGATTCTTCTATTGATGTTTTAGTTGCCAATGTGAATTTCGTATTTAATCAAAATCCTAGAGATTGGGATTCAAAAAGAAGAATCTTACTTACCCTTGCCATGATGGCTTCTACTCCCAATCATTGTGCGACAATTTTTGACGTGCTTAACAGTGGAAGATGTGTTATCGGATTGACAGAATTCAAGGTTTTCTTGTCCTTGTACACTGGATTGTGGGACATTAGCACTAAGGTGGTTGGTGCATTACAAAGACCAATGTTTGAAGAATGGGATTATGAAATTCTGGAAGCATATTTGGTAGTTATTCATAAGGTAGTTGAGGGCGGGAACCCGATGGATAGTAGTACAAGGTGTCCATGATTGTCCCAATTATTGTTGAACCTCGTCAATCATGAAAAAATGGTGCCCCAGGATTTGAGGATGGCGATTTCCAAGACTATGGTTGCTCCCCTTAGGGCAGCTCGAGCTTCGATCGCAGGCTGAGGAGTAAATGTAAATGTTAAAGTTTTATTGGCCTAAGTACTACTGATAATTGTTTATTTTATATTTCTGTTGTTAGACCCCAAAATAAATTTGGGTTTTGACAGGCCATTTTGACCGTCAACCGAAGAGGTAGAGTTTTCCTAATATTGGTGTTCAAGTCGGAGAAAGATTTTTAAGCAACAAAGAAATCCTAGACTGGTTTGATTTGCTTCTTACAATTTAGAGATAATATTTGGAGTTAATTTTATCTAATGGAATTGATGTTGGCTGAGATAATCAAAAGCTACTTATGCTTGGTTTGGAGACTTAACATTCCCATGAGAGGATGATTAAGTTAGATCATAACTTCCCATGTTGTGTTTATCTCCAATTAAAACTATACGGTTGGCTTGGAAAAAATGAGTCCGTGGTGGATTGATTGCTTTGAGCTTGTTTGGATTAATACTTTTCCTATTTTTTCTACATAGCACACGGCTGGCTAGTTTAAGCTTTAATTAGATGAATTGTTTTCATTGGATGCCGTGGGAGATTATTGTTCTAGCTACCTTTATGGAGAGTATTTTGGTCCAAGAAAGTCACTTGAATTAGGGCTCTTTTCCTCCAATAAGTTGGCCGACCTATTCTCCTATTTAAGGATGCCGCGTGCGAGACAGAACTACAACTTCTCAAGTCTCCACTCATCATCAGTCGTTTATCGTATTTTCTTTCTCTTTTATTTCATGTACTTTTATCATGTTTTTCTAGTTTAATCTAGATTAAATAGTTTTTGACCTCTTTTTCTTAAAGATATAGGTACTCGTTCATCGATTTCTATTTTAGTGAATTCGATTCTCCCTGTAATAGTGTATTATCGACATCTTCCATACTTAGTCGGCACGACATATCTCTTTTTCTTCCCACTTTAATCAATTCAAGGCCATCACTTTTGCTTGTCTCGCTTCTTCTCTATATTTTTCTTATTATTTATTGAACCGAAGTTAATCGTAAGCCCTCAATACTAGGTCCAAGACCGGTTTTTGAACACATCCACAGTCGTCTGATTTATTTTTGTGTTGGGATATTTTTCTGTCTCCTTTCCATGGTCCGAGTGACAAATTTTGCTCAAACATCTGTAGAAGATAATTGGAATGATGTAACATAGTATGTTCAAGTGTGATTGCAAATTCTAGCAATATCTTGTGCTCAGTAATTGTTAATTATTGCTCTAAAAATTGGATCCAACAGTCTTCTGCAAAGTGTTTTAGTCATCCGAAAGTAGCCAAAATGCCATAAGACGTACATTAAAGCAGATGGACTTCCACAACTATTGAATAAAATGTAGAATGTGACTTAATATTCCCTTCAACAACATTATAACAGGAGAGGATCACAGTCGCTGCAATTATATAAGCCATGGCCCTCGAAATCTTAAACCTGGAGCAATCAACCCCCAATGTCCAGATTTATATTCCAAACTTTTGAATCATTCTGCCATATTCTCTAGTGTCTATGAAACCATAGCACATAGCTCCAAAGATTCTAACCTCGGATATTTGGTGTCTAAACTCTAACTATGCTGCCCCTAATATTCTGACCTCAAACATCTAGGGTCTAATTTCTAAGCAAGCTGGCTCCAGAATTTAACTTCAATCGTTCAACAAATTTTACAACAATAGTATTTTCACTTGATGAAGCCTGAGCACGTACGACTTCTAGGAGTAATCATCATTTGGAGAATTATCATCATTTGGGAAACTAGCTTTGGGTCCCTCGAAATCCTCAACCAACAGATGAAATTAGGGTTGGATTGCTTAGATTCTTACTCATCTCGAGGATTAACAGGACTAGATAGAGAGGAAGAGGCGATGATTATGGACAATCCACTGCTTAAAAGAAATTGGGGGTGAGGTGGGCATTTGTACAAAGACGTGGAGTGAGTGTGCGTTTGAAGGTAGGACGGCAACTAGTGATCAGAACAAATTATCCAAAATGGCAGTAAAAGCATCTTTGACCGTAGTGCTGCCAAGATCGTTTTCATCTCTACATAAGGGGGGGCCTGATCAGTGTGGGGAGGGAATTGGCAAGATGAGGGCCAAAAGCACCTCTGTTAACTTAGACAACTTGTGTAAAGGTAAAACATAAAGGAGAAAATGGGTGACGAAGGTAAAGTCATCTGCCAAGATGATTTTTGGTCATAAGGGTAGCTTTCTAACAAAAAACATACTTATATTCATACGCTTCTAATAATTACAAAATCATTAAAAACATGTATCTCATATAACAACCCATGCATTACAGATACATTTCTATCCCACAAGAAATGATAAACTTTAACGTTTATGTCATGGTTTATTCCTCCCAAAATTAAACTATACACACTATTTTTAGGAATACATAATTCTCTTACACACACAATAATCAAGCCTTTAACAATTGCAAGGGAAATAAAAACAAAAGAAATATATACTCATTGAATCACCAATAAAATATAGCTGAAGAAATCATCAACAATATCTATGCAATCTAAATAATTAAACTATAAATCTACTTGACAGACATCATAAAATAAAACAAACGCATGACCGGATGGAGAGAAAATCAGCTTCGGGGGCTGTTGCCCCTTTCGTGAGTCTTTATGCATGAATCATCAAAACTGTCAAACTCCTTTGCCAAACAGTAACTAACGACCAGACTCTCAACCCTATCGCATGTTTACTTATTATTATTATTATTATTATTATTATTATTATTATTATTATTATTATTATTATCATCATCATCATCATCATCATCTAAAGAAGTTGGAACCGTGGGAACCATTGGGAAAGAGGTGGGTATTTTTGGTGAAATCGTGAACAAAAAAGATGGCATCTAAATTGAGTTGTATTAACTGTTGAATATCTATATGCACAAGTGCCTATAATTATTACATA